GGGGGGAGGGCGCTGGGTGGCTGAAAAGAGATGGCGCAGAGGAGAGAGAGAGAGGAGAGAGAAGGGGGGGCTTTGCCCTGCGTGGACCGAAGTGCGTGCAAGAGGGAGAGAGGGAGACTATGGGGGGCCCAAAGTGGGGGAGCAACGGTGCTCTCCTCCGGGGTTAAATTTTTCTCCGATAGCAGCATTTTTACATCAATGCCACGTTTCGCCGTCCGCTGCCCCTTCCCCCGCGCTCAACCCCTCCGCCACCTCCTCCTCCTCTCTCCCTCTTCTTTCTCCTTCCTCCCCATTTCTCCTCCCGCCCCCCTTCTCCCTCGCTCAACTTGGGGACGCGCCTTGCTCGGGCGTGTTACAAGGCCCTGAGAAAAAGTGTAAAATTATCAAAGAAAGTATTAAAATGTAATTGGAATGGTATAAAAAAATTAGCGGGGAGATGTCGGAGATATATACCCCCGGGCGCTCCTAATATTAAGCCCTTTTTAACGATGTTCGTGCTAGTTTTATAATGCCCGCGCTTTTCCTCTCGAAGTGTGACCGAATGGGGGATGTCGCACGGCCACGGGGCGGGCGCGGCGGGGGCGCGGCGGCTGGGGGAGGGAGTGGCACGGCGTGGCGCTTCGAATGCTCCTCCCTCTAAATAGCCTAGCGGGTTTAAAAAAGAAAAATCGAGGCGCCTTCCATGTCGTCGCAGGGGAATGACGCGCGGAGAAGCGTCTCAGAGCAGAGCAGGGGTGGTGGGAGTGACCGGAGGGAGGGGGATGATGTGGGGCTCTATTGAGCAGAATATCAGAGGACCAGGTAACGCTGCACACACGGCGCAGAGAGTATGGGTGCAGAGGTGTGGGTGCAGAGGGTGTGGGTGCAGAGGGTGTGGGTGCAGAGGATTTTTCGATTCAGGGCAGTGATTTCCACAAAGAAGCGCGCCTCGAAGCGCGCCTACAGAGACGCGTGATGATGATCATCACCGTGATGCACTCAACGCTGCCGCTCATCACTAAGCGATGATGTCGTAGCTTTGCGGGGACGCCGCAGTTGGTTGCGGTATCGTCCTCGAAGCTCAAGTAGCCCACGGTCATTCCCTGCGCCCTTTGAACCCCGCGCACCCTGCTGCACCCGCCGCGCCCCTCCCCGCAGTCGAGGAAAGTAAACAGAGCAGATGAGACGGAGCTCCTCGAGCTGCGGACTGTGCCAGGGTTTGCACTGCTGTGGCTGCTGCTGTAGCTGGGCCGTGAGGTTAACAGAGCTGCATCGATTTTCTCGAGCGTTTTTATTTCACAGTTTAAACTGAAGTAAGCATGTACATAGCAAGCATTACTCAGTCATCACCATATTCCAAAATGAGTTCATGTTTTCACAGACCGATGAAGCGAAATACGAAGAATAGAACACTGCCCGAAACGACGTATGATTTTTTGTACATTTTCTTTCTCACGTTTACATTCTTCATTCTTTCTTCCACTTAAATTGACCCATGAGCGCCAATTGAGTTACGAGTTACCCCGTAACATGCACAAAGTATATATAGTAAATGTGTCGATGTCGATATGTTTAGGTTCTACGTTGGTGGCTATCTTATTGGCAATAACGAGAAACAAACACAAATATACGGGGAGAAGGAAAGGGGATGGAAACTAAGGGTGGGGAATAGCGCAAAGAAGTAAGCGGCACGCACGGAAGTGCCTCTCCGTCCACAAATCAAAGAAGGGAGAGAGGAAGAGATAGAGAGAAAAGT